AAAAAAAAGAAAAAAAAAAGAAAAAAAAAGAAAAAAAAAAAAAAAAAAAAGAAAAATTAAAAAAATCTTACCTTTTCCAAAAGATTTTATCTCCTGAAATAAATCAGTAAATAAACTTTAGAAAGTATTGAAATTTGATCATTTTTATAAATTAAAATGGCTCATAATTATTTCAAGCTACCAAAATATAACCTATGTTAATTTAAATCTAAATTTAACCAGTTGTGACACCCAACACACGTATTAAATATTCCTTTTGGGGAGTGGACACTACTGAAGTAATTCAACTGATATCTCAATATATACGAAATTAAGAAATTCTTAGGATCAAATAGTTTTCACAGAATACAAATTTATAATGACCTATACTAACACTAACCCTTACTATTCTTCTACCCTTTCCAACTAAACCTTTTGCCTGTTTGTCAAAAGTAGTATTTGTCAAACAGGCAAGCTACTACTATTTCTGTGTCCTAATGTATAAGACAAGTCGGGTGGGGAGGGAGTAGGTACAATGATGTTCCCATTAGCAGATTCCTCCAAAGTTCTTTGTCAAGATGTTGCACATCTCAAATTTGTTAGATTTTAAAATTAATCTAAGAAAATTTTATAGTATTTTAAGTTTCATTATTTTTTCATAAACGTAACTAAAAGTCAATAGAATATTAGATAATTTCTGAAAATGTTAATTTGTAAAAATTACTACGTAGTTAAAAAACCCCAAAAATGTGTTCACTTAGATTTTGTAAATTTATGTCAATTCTGGTCATCCATACTAGCTGTCAACACCTACCCATTGTTAAGAAATGCTTGTATACTACTTTTTATGCTATATGTAAGTAATATTTGTTTCAAATCAGATTAATTTAACTTTAAATTTGCTAACTTTATTAAAATAATGTGTTACAAATATACATTTTATTTTTGCAAGATTTTTAAAACAAATAATTGTTTTGTTTACAAATTTCTTAAAAGTGAGAAAATGGCTGCTTATAAGATTTTTTTGAAAGCGAGCATGTAATTGACATTCCAATCTATATAATTTCTATTTGAAATACACCAGAATATTTTACTTACTGGAAATAGTAAATTTAAATCATTTAGCTTTCAATTAAAGCTAAAAAGAAAAGTTCAAGAACATGTTTTCATTTTCGAAAATTCATTTTAAACCTTGGCTATTGAAAATTTTAGCAAAAAAGTGAAGGTACTTAATATTAATTCTATTCTTCTAAAAGTTTGAATCATGCCAATATTTGAAGGATCAGTTGACCAGGTGTGGAAAACTGGAGATGATCAATATATTGACACCAGTGGTCATTAATCACTGACCCACAATGCACAGCTGGTTATTATCTACTTCCTCCCCACACACACAAAAAAAAAAAAAAAAAAAAAAAAGTACATTTCAAAGAAAAAAAAATATATTAAAAAAAGTATATTTAAATAAAAAGTATATTAAAAAAAAAAAAACATTTAGGAAATATTAATTTTTTTAAATATTTAAAAAAAATTTTTTCAAATATATAAAAAATAACTTAAAAAATTTAAAAATAAAAAGTTAAAAAAAAACTGGAATGATTCAAAATGAATTAATACTCACTGCAGCTAAGTGGTCTGAATCATATGTAAATCTTGTAGTACGACCCAAATCATCATCAATTCTTCTATCACTAACAAATTGCTGAAGAGAGATAGAGAGCAATGTGGAATTAAGTTTTAAATTATATAAATTTTAATTCAGAAAAAACAGCTGTTTAACTTTCAGTTATTTGATATGCTTATGATGAGTAATAGGAGATGTGAAAGTCAATACTATAATAAAAAAAAGTATAAAAAAAAGAGAGAATTCACTGACCATCATGTACTGTGTGTACATGGCTTTGCATGCACATATACAATGTATATGCATATGACTGTTTTGCGTGTAAGTGAATTACATGTGCTTGTGCCATTTAATGTATGCAAAAAAACATCCGCACACATAATTTGACAGGATTTGAAATAAAATATTGGAATAATACATTCTCCGTCCACTCAGTCTGGATACCCGCTACCATGCCTAGACTGAGCAATAAAATGAAGTTGGAGACAACAACAACAAAAAAAAAAAAAAAACTAACAGCTTAATGTACATTCAATCTTTTTTCATATATGTGCTGAATTTATTTACAGTGAGAGAGTTTGAGTATCTTAGTGATAATTACATCACTGTTTCTATCTGCTGAGCCAGCTACCTGCTCAGGCCTATCTGCCGATACATCAGTCTATCCTATATCAATAGCAGTCATTTAATACAAGTTCTGTCTTCTTACAATTGATAGTTAATCCTTTCAGCCTTCTTTCATTTACTACTTTGTCTATGAATTATTGTATGACAAAGTGACCACCTTACACAAGATTTTAGTAGTGTATGAATTATGTTTTGTGGCTGGAATGAATTAAATAGATATAATAAATAAATGAAAGTGAATAGGGAGACAAAGTTGAGAAAACTATAATCCAAAAAGAAACCAAGTGTAATAGTTAACTAGAGTATATATAAAAACGCTTCATTGAGGCTTGAGATTGGAATTAGTGAGAGTCAAAACTTGTATTCCTAATTTAAAAGGATATGTACATGACAATCTTCCAATAACTGAGTGAACAAAAATTAATCAAATATTTTTCTTTTCACTCAGAATGCATGTATTTCTAATTGCTTGATTACAAACTTCAGGAAATAAATAAATATATTTATGGGCTTATCTAGTAGGTCACAGCCAGCCTTAGGGTATCTGGTTTTTTGTCAAAAGAATCATCTTTGGCTAATGTGAGAATTTCAGTGTCTGGAGACTTTATAAACAGAAACATTGATACTCAAAGGCAGTCAGAGAGATTGCCCTAGTCAGTCAATAAGAGATATGGAGCTACTTTTCACAGGAGTTAAAAGGAAGAAAATGATTTCACCTTAAGCAAGGCAATAAAGCCAGGGGGTAAGAAGTACTGAGAATGACAGAAACAGAGTCAAGTGAGAACATTAAAAGAACAGAATTCAAGCAGAGAGATGATGATTGTTGCTGCATTTAAACTCTTAAAAGAACATAGTTGACTGGAAAGAAAGAAGGTGTGAAAGAACAAAATCGAAAGAAGTTGCTACTATAGTTAGATCAACCATACATAAAAGGACAAGAAGGAAAGGAGTCCTTGTATAGAAAGTAGCATTTGCTCCAGCTATAAACAAAAAGAAAGAATTGTGTAGCAATTGCCAAAAATAGTTATCATTAGAACAGACTTGTAACTTGAATTCATTTTCAGCTATAAGGGTTAGTAAGGGCTTATCAGAAATCCAATTCATCAAATAAACACCCCAACAGTTGAAATATAACAGAATAGATTACAACATGGTTAGTTGCAAAACAACAGGAACAGATTAAAACTGGTGTGATAGTATTCAGAACTAGTTATTCTCCCAAGAACCGGTGAAGGCTGACACAGGTAAATGTAACACAGAGACCGTATAGTCAGTGAAGAGCACTCAGAGTCTTTGAGGCCTGTGCGGGTGTCAGTTTTACGATTTTAGTTTACTTTCCAGCTTGCTATCAACACAGTGTCATTGGTGTGTCTTATATTGTTAAGATTGTGCCCACCAATAATAAATGTGGGGTCCAACAGCAACCACATTAAAAATAGCAGAAAAAAAGAAAAGAAAAAAAACGGGGGGAGTGAACAGTTTATAAGCAAATACAGATTTTCAAAGTTAATATACACAAATCATAGCCAGAGAGAATTGGGGGGGGGGTAATCTCACCTTAATGTGCAACCGCAACTCTGCCACGTCAGCCTCAGACATCCGTGAAGATCGATCAACATCATCCCTCAGTTCTACTGCTTTTTGCTGACGGAGTTTCAAGGTCTCCACTAAAACGAGATTTTTTTTTTTTTTGGCATAATAATTGCACTGCTCAGAATTTATAATTAAAATAAGTTACAAAGTATGAAAAAATGAAAAGGAACATCAAAGATTCACAAAAAGAAAACTTGTACTTACTTGCATCTACTTTAACCATATCCATCTCTTTGTTTATTTGAATCTCCCGTTCTCGTAAACTGGAAAAATAATTTTAAAATAATTCCAAACAATAATACAAAGTAAAAACTAAAACAATTGTTTGTTCATTATGTTTATCAATAAAACAACAGAAAATTGTCACATTCACTCATCTTGTAAGTATCAACAAAAAAAAATTGTTCAAGTACAAAGAGGAGGAAAGATTCAGTTTGCAATATGTCAAATTATTTTGAAGCTCAAAATTCATTGTTTATGTTTAAAAAATGAGGCACAAGAATTTGGTGAGTGGAGATATTTAGATTCAATGATGAGACAATAAGAAATTAACCCATTTTAATATTCTTCCAACTGTTTTAGAAATGTGGCATAATAAAGTACTAATTCAAAGCATTTAGGCCACCGCAAACTTCTATGGAGGGAGAGAGGAGAGCCGAGAGAGGCCGGAAAGAGAGCCGAGAGAGGCCGGAAAGAGAGCCGAGAGAGGCCGGAAAGAGAGCCGAGAGAGGCCGGAAAGAGAGCCGAGAGAGACCGGAAAGAGAGAGGAGAGACCGGAAAGAGAGAGGAGAGACCGGAAAGAGAGAGGAGAGACCGGAAAGAGAGAGGAGAGCCGAGAGAGACCGGAAAGAGAGAGGAGAGCCGAGAGAGACCGGAAGAGAGAGGAGAGCCAGAGAGACCGAAAGAGAGAGGAGAGAGAGACCGGAAAGAGAGAGGAGAGCCGAGAGAGACCGGAAAGAGAGAGGAGAGCCGAGAGAGACCGGAAAGAGAGAGGAGAGCAAGACAGAGAGAAAAAGAGACAGACATAGAAGACAGGAAAAAGATAAAGGAAAAATACACACAATCAATTTTCATTATTCAATAAACAATCAAATATCCAAGTTAAACTATGATGATGATGATGAACAACAGTCTATTAATCAGAGGACATGGTTAGCCTCAAGATTAAATGCAGTTCTTACCATGACTTCATTTCTTCAAAAACATTTTTTATTCGTTTGTATGCTTTATCTATTTCTTCTGTCAACACTAACTCCAACCTCTCAAGTGCAATCGTTTGTCGATGCAAATCTTTGGACGATTTCTCAAGACCTGCAAGAAAAATGTCAGCAATCAATTTTCAAGTATTTAAATCAAGTTTTACAGCTGGCCAACACATAATGGATATCACATTTTGACAAAAACATTATTTTTAAGTATAAATTAGTGATTTTCATTCCTCTTTTAAGATAAGTGCGAGAAAAGCCATATTTGCCTAGGCACAAACTAACACCTTTAAATTATTATGGTTCTTCAAGTACAAATTGTATAGACTGAAAAATTCAAGTATTTCTAATATGGCTCATGATCAACAATACAAACAAGCAAAATAATGCATACATCTCAATAATAAAACAGCTAAATATTGAATTAAAAGAGGTAGTTTTATCTCCTGACAGAATTATTGTATGAATTAGTTTGTTGGGGGGATTGTGACTTTAACCATTAGCACTCTGTAGGTGACTATTTTTGGCAAGGAAAATGTTAGTCCTGCCAATGTTAAATTTGAATTTCTTGGTTGTGTAGACATATCCTTCTATGGCAACGCCTAAAACAATCTTGACTGATATTGAGAACCAGGCTACTGCAATTTCAAATATATAGAACTAATATATAAAACACTATAATTTTTATGAAATTCCATATACAGCAAAAAGGGGAGTAATATTTATAAATGATGCAGAGTGCTAAATGTTAAATATTTAAGGTGCCACTCCTTTAAGATATATTCTATATCTCGACTTTCATCCGATCAGGACTTGTTTTGACATTTCATTGACTTATAAATATTGAAAAATGCAACTTAAAATGATACAGTCTTGCTAAAAATTAAGATGCTAAATCACTAATTAAAAAGAGATTGTAAAAAGTAATATACAATGTAATTTAAAGCTTCCTTTATACATAAGTTTCAGTTTCTTTCTTGCTCCAAAGAGGAAAAGAAAGAAAAAAGTACTAATTTTTAAATTTTCCTTCAAAGATTTCATTCTTACAGGCTGCTGTTATTGGACAACTAAAAATCAATGGCACTACAGTTGAAATGATAGAATGTAAACATGGTAAATGTTAAAATTTAAATCATCATTAAATTCTACAAAGGCAATTAAGTGAAACAATTACATTTGCAATAAAAAACAATTTAATTAATAACACTAACAAATAAACAGAAAAAACATGGTGGATCAATCATAGCAAAACAGTTACTAACTGAATTTAGATCTGAATCTATGTGAATAATATTTACCACTGAATTAAGTGCATTAACAAGGCAAGATTTTAAATTATATATTTATGTAAAATAAATGCTTTTTCTTCATTAGACCTGCAGACTTGCTTATTGGCTTAGCTGTGTATATACTTAATACAACTTCTGTCCTGTATTAGTTGTTTCAGTGTATGATGAGTATGTAAACGTAACTACTATGGGACAGATGTAATGGAAATTTGATAAAAAAAATTAAATTTTTATGTAATTGAATGAAAAAAAAACCTAAATTTTCAAAAACTAATCAGAGCCTAAACTGAAAAAGCATTAATTAGAGTCACCCCACTATTTTGTACAACTTAAACATTGTTCTTTATGGAGTTAACTATTGTTGACGAGCAAAATTTTAAAAATAAATAAAAATGGCTAAGCAGCAAAGGGATAAAGGCTAGCATTTGGTAATATAGCAAGCAGACTGCAACCAACTTGGTATTTATTTAAAAAGGAGAAAAGTCCACAAACGTGTTATGACAATGGCAGTGTTTGCAAGATATTTACAAAGCTAAGAGATTAAAAAAAATTAAATGTGAATGAACAGAGTACAGCAACAATAAAAAAAAGTATTTAAAAAAAGTCCTGTAAAAACCCAATAATAGTTAGTACTTAAATATTCCCCAATTTGTATTTTTATAAAAGACATAAAAAAAACAAAAAAAAAACACATTCCTACTTATTTCAGGTGCTCTAATTATAAAATGAAAAAGTCAAGCGAGGTGAGATGGGCTGCCTCAACATTGGAACAACAGCTCCAAATATATTCAATGACTGATGATGTTTAGACCAATAAGGATCTAGTTTTCAAGACACACCCATGAATGACATAACACATAATTGTCAACACTAAGTTCAAAGTAATTAAATATGTGAAAGGTGGATATGTCCCTAGGAAACCTGGATCTTGATAATGACCAAAAGTAGAATTGAAAGCACTTAAACAATTCATTAGATCCAAACATACCATTGCATGTAAACAATTCAAAAAGTAATTCTTGTTTGTCATCCATAACCAAGCTAGTATCAATAACAAAATGCAGCTGAGATACATACTTTATATTTCTAGACAAGACAAACAATTACTCCAGTATCTTAAGATTCTTGACTCAATCATACAAATATTTTATATTGCCTTCTCATCATCCTCTTTTTACATGTAAGCATTTTATAGATAACCCATCAATGTTAGAAAGTAAATCGAAGCACACATTTATGCAGGAATAAAAAAATTTGCATAACAGCAAATCAATTTATATACACACTGTAAATAAGTAAATTTCTCATTTTGATACCTTTATCAAATTGCTACATAGTACCAACAGATCACTCACCAATACAAGGTTTATTTTTTATTCTGAACAGAATAGCTGTTTAAAACAGAAATTATGGCAACTTATAGACAAACACTGTTTTTGTTAGAATCAGTTGGCAAATCAATGCTTTAAAATTACTTGAAAACATTTTACTCTCAAGATATTTCAAGACAAAATCTCATGTAAAGAAGACGTGTAATCCTTAAAAATGTTGCTGGAATATATATCAGTTCTTCAATTAAACTCATCATGTCTTGAGTGGTATATTTGCAAGAAATGCACAGTCTAGGCTTATTTGAAAAGATTAACTTGTGCTTTTAATGAGTGATAATTGGAGAGTAAGGAAATAAAAGATCTGAACGAATTTCTCAGTCTCCTGTTCCCTTAAAGACATTGGAAACTCTTGCAATACTTTTAATGAACTTTTTGCCTGAGATATATTACAAAAAAAAATTACATACATACCAATTAAAAATGAGATTTTTAACAATATTTTATTATTTATTTTTCTGATCTGATGAACTTGATAATACATTAAGCAGCATCTATTGTATATTGACAGATATATAGAAAAACAAGATAATTGTATCCTCACAAAAAGGATACATCAAATTATCTGCCATTTATCAAGTTTCTCTAAGGAAGTAATAATTGAATATGAAGATGATTTAGGTTTGTTAAAATGTTCTTTATGCTATAGATCAAAACAGTAGAAAATGCAGTGAGGCAGGGGAGAAAAAAAAAATCTAAGTCTACCCAAAGTTATAATTTGGTCTACAAATTAGTAAGAATTAAAAGTTATAAAAAAAGTTCTAATTAAAATATTCTACACACCTTAAGGCACAATAAAGCTAAGAAATTCCACAACTTCTTGGGCAGAAGCTCATTTAGATGATAGAGAAAGGAACAGTATGGAGAAATAAAGTAAATGAAAAGCCAAATGTAGAGAAAAAAAAAAAATTAGAAAGTGCAGAAAAGAGTGTTCAAGCAGTTTAATTTAAAAAAAAAAATAAAAAAAAATAAAATTATATATATATATATATATATATATATATATATATATATATATATATATATATATATATATATATAAAAGTTAGTTAAGTGGTGTTTCTTTAAGGGAGATTAGTCCAAATTTTATGGGTACAGAATCCCACCACACCTGGCTTTGCTGCTTTTACAGATTTTTGCCTCTGCTTCATCTTTGACTTTTCAGAATTCTGAGTCACGCCTGGGATAAAAATAAAAATTTCACAAATCTAAAAATTTATTTTTAATTTAAAACGAGCAATTCAAAACCAGATAAAAATGTTGGATGCAAATAAACACTTGAGAAATTTTAAATTATTTTTCATGCTCTTCCGTTTCCTCATGAACTAGAAAATAGTAGTCGTTTTTGTTTCTTTTTAAAAAAAAAAAGTCTTTTCACTTTTATTCAAGTATATTCTTTGTATGCAGATATGACAAAACTGACTTGACTCTTCTTTGCTGCCACCAATAAAAAGTCTAATACAACAGAGGAAGAGAGAGGGAGTGGGACAATAAAGAGAACAAGAGTACACCAGTTGAGTAGTAATCAAAGGGATACAAAGTTAGCTTTCCCACAATTATAAATAATCTGAACCTCATTAGTCTTTAATAAGGAGAGGCAAAGATAACGTCAATATTTTTTGTTGCTTGTCATAACACTGCAAACAAGACTGGTAAATTCAAATATTAACAGCATTTCAAAAGCAAGAAGTTTTATTTTTTTTATTGACAACTATTGACTTTTTTTATTGGAGATCAGCCAACATATTTCCATGAGCCATATAGTGAAGGTCAAAGAGCTGCATATTGCTTGTGACCCACAGTTTGGCGACTCTCACATGGGCAAAAATTTAAAAGAGCTAAGTTGAAAATGCAACTGAAGTTTTTAAGAATATTTACTTATTTAAAGTAACTTTATTAGTTTCACATTTATATGATTTCCAAAAGTTAAATTGAGATTGAGAAGTGAGATATATCATGGCATAACCACATGCTTCCTCTCCATCTCTAACTTTAGAAAATCATATAAATATTGAGACTGGTAAAGTTACTCTAAATAAAAAAAAAAATTCATAAATGCTTCAAGTTGCATTTTCAACTTTTTACCATATATATATATATATATATATATATATATATATATATACTGGATATTGGCATCATTTTTGACATATGAGCTCAGTTAGAACAAAACAGCCTTACTACCTGCATATACCATTTGATTATAGTGGTGAACACTAGTACAGAACCAAATACAGGGAGTAGATGCATATAGTGTACCAAAAGTTACCCAAATTGCCCTCCTCATGTTTTGAATTCAAATTTATCCTTCTCCTAGACTGGTTGCTACACAAGGCTATAGGGCCCTGTCTGGATTCATACCTTTCCCAAGGTAAAAGATAGTGCAGCTTTTATAAATACTTTAACTTTTTAAGATAGTTCCATTACCCAATATGGTCTTTGAAATTTTAAGACAAGATCCCATATACAAAATACCCACTCCAATTACTGTAGGAGCAGAGAGGAAGTATTTACTGCAAGCACCATTTAGTCAGCAATATCCAGTAATTGGAAAAGTGAATGATCTTATCTCTTAAAAAGGTTGGTTTATGTGATGTCACATTTAACCATAAAATAGAGTTAATGCTTGCAATAATTGGAGGAGGAAGAAGTGGAGCATTTGCAAAGAACAAGAAATCTGCATTCAAATGACAAAGCAAACAAATTTTCATAAATTTGATTTTTTTTTTTCTTGTATATTAAAAAAAAAAAAAAAAAAAAAAAAAAAAGAAGAACAGAAATAGAAAAAAGTCATGCCACAAAATAAATCACATTTAGCATTTAACAAGAAAAGTATATATGCCTTTCTATTCATACTCATCTTGGCCATGATACTCATGTTTTGGCTGTTGTACCATCCACCATTCTCCAGGTGTCTATTGTACCTGGTAACTTCCTTGGAATTCTGAATCAAATCCTTTACTCAATTCCTGAGGATAAATTGTTCTCATTCCATTTTCTATACATAGACGAAATTTCATATCCTATAAATTCTCTCTAGTTGTTTCTTCTACTGAACCAATGTATGATTTTTCTACATTATCCAACCCAGAAATTGAACTCTTGACTGCTCCAGAAACCAAATTTACCTTAATACTTTAATTAACTAGATTCTAAATCAGTCATGTAATTTTGGAGTCTTAAAATAGAAATTTTGAGTATCCTTTCTTAATCAGAAGCCTAAGTTGGTGTTCCTCTCTTAAGAAAACAACATGAGAATGCTAGTCTGAATAGAAAGGCATATAATAATTACTCAGCTTAAAAAAAAAGACATAAATTAAGAAAATAAAATAAAAAATATACATTTAAAGAAATCATTCACTCATAAAATGAGTCACTGAATGTTAGTAATAATAAAAAGAAAAAGTACATGCTAGAAACATGAAGCCTTTACAAGAAAAACAGGAACATATGCTCAGAGCTTGGTTTTTAAATGGCTTTTTAAACAACATTGACAATTTCATTCAACATGGTTCATCAAATTTCAGCCATATTTGCATGTATTGGATATACAGAAAATATTTTTTTTTAATTCTTTGCATAATGGTGACACAAACATGAAAAAAAAATACTGTACATTTGAAAACCATTTTAGCTAAAATTTGTTCATTTGAAGTACAAGCAATATCTGAAAAGTAAGGTACACATATTTACTAAGGTTTATTACTATACAAATAAAACATTGTACATATGTTACTAACACTAGTATGCTACTTTTCCATAGTCACCATAGAAATTGATGGACAAGCACATGAAATGAAATCATATAAAGAAACTGGAGCCAGCCTTGGTCCTAGGTGAAAACAGCACCATCTGTGTGAAACTACTTCCCAGATAAATGTTGTTAGAGCAACCCAAGCAGATGATAATCTGATTGTTTTCATGACCTAGAACCAAACGCCATTACTACTCCTCTAAAGATTCAATGTTCAACAGTCAGTAAGGAAATTGATGACAAATGTTTTGATGTAGACAATGTGTGCAGGTTGTAAACTTCAATTTGCATGGCCAAACAGTTAATGCAGTCAGATATTGTGACACAATGGACATATTGTGGTAAACTGTTAGTTGAAAGGGGATCAGGTGTGCATAAGGACATCATTCTGTTGTGACACAATCCCCATTCAACAGACAGCAAACTTGTTAAAAGAGTGACTTCAGTGATATGATTGGTAAGTTTTATCATATCCACCACATAATATGAAGGAGTCAAGCCAGGACTGTCATCTGTTTGTGCTTGTCAAACAACACTTATCCAAAAGTGGTTTCATGCAGATGACCTATTTTATGTACGAATGAGACAAGGGCATCAATCTTGATGGTGACAGAATATAGAAAGTAGCATAGTAATGTGAGTAATGTACGCACAATTTCTTTTTATTTCTAAATTAATAAACATGTTGGATTTGAACTTTATTTTTCAGAGAGCTCTCATAATTTTTGTTAAAGAAAGAAAAAAATACAACAATACTATCCACTCCAGAGGATGATAATGGTTCTCTTTAAGAAGGAGGAACATAGAAGTGAGTGGATTTTTTTCTAAGATAGTAAGGAGTTGCACATCCAGACCTACCCTGTTGACATCCCCTCCAGAATCCAGCAGCCAGGTAAGGTATGCCAAGGAAGGCTAGTAAAGGATCAGTTGCAATGTATGGTCAGACCAAATTTTCAATAAAAGAAAAAAGAAAGCCCTGCTAGCATGTTAAAACATGGGTTTGAATTCAGAGCTTTCCTTCTAGACTAATTCCCTGCCAAAGCAAAAGAACTTAGTTTGCCCAGTGATTCCACCAATAACTGGATGAAGATGCTAAGTGAATAAAAGAGATTTTGGCTAGAATTTGAACATGGCATGCCAATCCCACCTATTCTATATCAAACTTTGTAATTTAAATAACTAAAAAAGAAATTTTTCTATTACTCTTGAAATTCTCTGCCCATTGGGAACCCTCTACTGTGTTTATATTTACAGTGCTACTACTGTGCATTAAATTTTAACAGAATGAATTGTGTGTGTGTGTGTATATATATATATATATAATAAACTTAAGATATGCAAAAAACATTTTGCATTTTTATTAAATAAATATATTATTTTAAACATTGTTTTTAAAACAGTGAGAGTATTTTGTATGTTAAATGATAAAACTTTTTTTTTTTTTGTAAAAATTAAGTTTTATCATTTAACATACAAAATACTCTAGTAAAACCAACTGTATTTGTACACTTTACCTGTTTGCATTTCTCCCCCAAATGTGGTTTTGATTGGTCAATGTGTCGCTATTTTTTTCAGATTTTTTTAATGTTGTGTCCATCAGGACATGGTAATCATGTCTCTCCACAGATTCCTTCTGTTTATTTCTTTATCTGAAAATTATTATGACTCTTTGGGAAAGATAGTGGTGTGGTTTCAAGTTGCTTTCTTCAGTTTTATATAGAAAGAGATCCTTCTCCCATAATGGTTGCCACGTAAGGTTAGACAGCCAAGTCTGCTCTACTATTTAATTCATAATTTGGTGGCGTGGGGTGAAAAAAAAAAAAAAAAAAAACAGATTCATGCTTTTCCCAAGAGTATGTGTGCATAAGCAAACACAATAGACAAGGTTGGAATTTGAACTCAGTTCAGCAATTCCATTTTCAGTAATGATAACATTTACCAGCACATCCACTTCCTAAATGAGAAAGTTTAAAATCAAGAAAGACAAAAGCTATAATGAACTGTTCTGTCATGACAATTAAAATATTCACTTTCTAAATCGACCTTCTTAAACAGTGAATTACAAATGCAGATTCACATAACTATTGCTTTTTCTTTTTACTTCATTTCCTTTTGAAATAAAAAAAAAAATTGTAAGGTTTGTGTTGATGTATGAAGTAAGTATCATTTAAAGACATTGAAATTTTACCTATCTATTGTTAAACATTCATTTAGCTATTCATTTTGTACAGTCAGTTGAATTTTTACCAAATGCAACAAAGATGCAGTTTTACAGAAGGATGCTAAAAATACCATGGACTGAACATGTGAGTAATGTGGAAGTTTTAGGGGAAAATAGGAATAAAAAAGACATACTTAGAATCAGAAAGAGAAAGTTTGAATTTCTGTTACACATAATGAGGAAAAGACAGTTTGGAGAATTTGAAACTCACTGGAGTAGAAGGTAACAGAGTAGCCTACTTAACTGGGCTTGTGTAAATAAATGTCAGGACAGAGACTAAGAAGGATGGTAAGCGGATAAACATTGCTTAGAGCTACGTAGGATGGGAAGTTGTGGAGAACTACGGTCGGCCACATCTAAAATATCAACATGAAAAGCAAAACATATTGTAAGATAAAGATCATTACTATAAAACTTAAACCAAGAAATTAAATGAACACAATAAAAAATATTTCTGAGATTAACACAGCAATACTTGAACCTAAACTCATATGCCTTTACTGATATCCAATATCTTTTTACACAAGTACATAAAAGTAAAAACTGTACACCTGTTTTAGCAATGCAGCTATGAATGTAAAAAAAAAAAAAAGAAAAAAAAAAAAAGCAGTCATCTACTCAATACATTCTTTGATGTCGTCACAGCTGCATAGTGAAACACTTACCTGGCTTGACCCGAGGCAAATCAGTATCATTTAAACTTGATTCCTGAGAGCCATGATATGTATCAGAATTGGAGGAGGCAACGGCATGTTGTGAGGATTGTACTGTGTGTTTGTGACGATCGGATTCGTTGTCAGTTGCAGACTCAGATTTGCTAGCACCCGTAGCAGCAGCACTATCATTCAAGTCCTTATGTGAGGAGGTTGGCCCTAAGGAACTTTCACCTTTAAGTGAGGTGGAGGCAGCCACGTGGGAGTCCCCTCGTGATAATGATGATGATGAAGATGACGTCGATACAACAACACCTGTTCGAGAAACGTTTTTACCAATGTGAATTGTGGAGTTGATACCTGTAGGCACGTTATCTGCAAAAATAAACACACTGAATAAATTGAACAAAACTAGTAAAACATCTTAGCATTCTCAGACTGCCAAATTTATTCAACAATTACCAGGAGTGTTTGCTCTCCTTGAATGTACCTGATATTACTAATTCTGACAAAATGACGTAACTGCTCTAATAACAAGCATTGGCTTACAAAAGAATCAAGGCAATATTACAATAATTTCATCATTGTAAAGAGGATAGCCTTTTCTATAGATTTTGAACATTCACAACACACATTAGTTATCACCTGGAGGAACAAAAATAATATAAACTTCAAGTTTTTAAATCATCTCTGAAAGAATATACTCTCTCCTGTGGAAGAAATGCCTCCACTAGTTAGATCATGTCTGTATGGATGACAGAAGAATTCCAAAGGACATTCTCTATGCAGAATTTTCAAATGGAAGGAGGAAGAACTGACCACCACAACTTTGATTTAAGCACATTTGTTAAAAAGACTTCATATCATTTAATATCAACCCTAATACCTAGGAAAACACCACCTTAAATGGCAGCAGTTAATCTACAGTGGGCTGTTGACATATGGGACTCATCATTGTCATTGAGACAGGCCTGTACATGCAACATCTGCGGTTGTGTCTGCCTCTCACATATGGAACTTTGCAGCAACATCATATGCTGCATTAGAGTGACTCATGCGCATGGAAAAATCAATGGTCTTCCAAGGCTGCGATAACAAACATCTATATAAATGAAGGATTTACAATGTGATATCAAAATTGTCTTCAGTTTTGCATATTCTGATATAAATGCAAAAGAAGACTATTGGTAATAGCAACATTTTTGACAATTAGAAAAGATTTAGGATAGAAAACTCTAAGTCAAGGGATGAATATATATATATATATATATATATATATATATATATATATATATATATATATATATATATATGTGTGAAATAAATGCCCCATTTTTTATTTCAAAAAGTGTTTATTACATCTATTTTGGCCTGCACACTAAAGAAATCTTAATAGAGAACAGAAAGTGCGCATTCCTTAAAAAGCAAGAGATATAAAAGAACTAACTTATTGAAATTGCATGCAATATAAAACTGCTAAGTATGCAATCAGGAAAAGAATAGTAAATAATTTAAAATGTTGTGTATTTTAATTATAAATCCTTCCCAAAATCATCCTGTTGTAACTTGGACACCTTGACATAGTGTAATAGCAAGTTTGTCTCGCTAGAGCAATTATGATACATTAGTGATTTCACTCCTCACTGGGTGACCCCATACTTTCAGCCTTGTGCCACAAGTAAGCTATGCTTAGAAAAATCACCATCCTACTGCAACTTTGTAATTTGACAAATCAACTGACAAATAAATTAAAAAAAATTTTTTTAAGTCAATTTTAGTTCTAACTTAAAAACAAAATTTTAAAAAGTTGAATTTTTTTTTCTTTGACACTTAAATTAACTGTCAGAATGAAATATCAAACATGCTAAATTTACTGACAAGAGAAATCATTTAACTATATCATTTCAAGATTAACTCCAGTTGCTGCACATGTCTTAGTAAATTCATTATCACCAATTGGAAGATAAAAAGGTACAGACCATTAACAATACCATTTGATAATCGAGCGTTTGTATTGTTGTTGGCCTGAGCTTGAGAATTCAACTTTTGTTGGTCAGCAGACTGGTTCTGATTTGACTGGCTCTTTTTACTCTTCTTTTTCTTGTGTTTGGATACCTAGAAAGAAGAGAACAAAAAAAAAAAAAAAAAAAAAAAAAAAAATCAGGGAAAAGGTAAGAGTTCATGGAAACTAAAATGTGGATTTTCAAAAATAAAAGTAATGTTACCAAAAGATTAATCAGAGAACATAAATTTGGTTTGGTTGCAAAAGAAATTTAAATTTAAAAAAAAAAAAAAAAAAAAAAAAAAATTTCAACATTAACTTTAATGAACAATATTAACCATTTTGTTTCACTGTTTTTGTCAAATCAAGCAATTTCTTAATTCCATTTCTGAAGAACTTTTATATTTCTCAAAGAAATGCTTTTGCAGTTTTTTTAGGGAATTTAGCATTTTATTTCTTTGACCTCCTCATTGAGACATCTCATTACAGATAAGAGTAAGTGATAATCCAAATATGGCAGGTAAGTGAAAACTTTCCAGCAAAACTAACATTTGACCTGGTCACCAAAGAAACATGCACTCCAATGTTATATAAGGGAATATTACACTGTTTCTATAACTCATTCTGAAGGGACAATTTGTTAATTGCTGCCTTCACATAAACTGGAATCAATTCTTGTTGAGAATCAATGATCTGTTTCTCTGAAAGGAGTTCATAATAAAGGAAATTCCTTTCTAACACACCATGTACATAATATCAATTTTTGTGGATGGAAAAAAAAATAAAAAATAAAAAAAAGAGAAGATAATGTGGGGGATTTTGCATGCCCAACAATCACATTCATTCTAACTTGTGAAGTTTTTCATTGTCCATAATTAATTAAAAAAATAAATAAAAAATTAAACATGGTTAAGTTTGTTTTTTTATGTAGAATTTACACTAGCTTAGTTAACACTTGATTTCAATATTTTTCAATATATTGGTTATCTCCCCTGTTTTTATAACACTGGCTATTCCCAAGTAATGTCTTGATTGCTATCAATCTCAACTGGTCCACCCAATCAGGGAAAATTGAAAAATCACTTTTGTTAAGTCTGTTCATTGACAATACTTTCTTCTGTATAAAATGCACAACTCTAGGAATTTAATTCGTATTTTACCTTAAAATAAAATAAAATGATTTGGAACTATTTCTTTCAACAATTTTTTTTTAAATTCCAATTTTTCTGTTTTTTTTAAAGCATGCTGTCAGTATAATTAAATGCAACTGTTTTTAAGCAAGTTCAAAAGAAAATGCCCTTATTGCCATCTTACAAAAGAATTAGCTCAGTTGCAACTCTATGACAAATGAACATAGTGGCAAAATTAGTGACAGTGAAAGTGAAATACAGATTCAAACTTTTCTAGTTTATAAACAGCCCAGGTGAAGTGCATATTATACAGCCATGGAAAGGTTTATGGACTTCACAAATGCAGTATGGGGTTGTATTTGGCAGAGGAGGGGCGTATTTAACATTAGATAATTTTGCGGCAATATGTGCTTAAAGGTTTTAGGCAGTTTTGATCAACATTTCTTTACATGGCTAACAATAAGGAGTTGTAAATGTAGGACTCCCTTACACTTCAGTAAAATAATAACAATAATATTTAAGAATTTATTACAGGAAATATCAAGTTTTACAGAATAATTGTTGACAATTATGTATTTAGTTACAAAACAAATAAATAAAAATAATATAAATTTTGATGCTATATTTGATTTGTTCAGTATTTTTCATTTTCTCCTTTGTTATTGGCAGCATTTTAGAATACTTTGGTTGCAATACTAACTTTCCTAAGTTGAACAAACTCAAGCTATTTCATTTATTCTTTGTTTCCATTGCTGTTTTTTGATCACTTTCTTCTATTAATTTTGATGGGCAATAGCAAAATTCTGAAATTTAGAATGATCTTATTCCATGTAAAAAATAAAGCCTGTAAAAAGGAATATTTTAAATTAATGTATGACCAAAAATAAAATGCTTTTGAAAAAAAAAAAAAAAAAAAAAAAAACTTAATGATTTCACTATAATTATGTAACAATAAGATAATGATATTCCAGTCAAATCTACTTTGTTACCACACTGCATAGTTACAAACTATAAACCTAAATTGAGCCTGAAATACTGTGTAAGTGGCTCTAATTTTTGTAAATGATATAATGAATAACTTGCAGTGAAAAAAGTAATTTTCGATTTTTTTATTAAATATGCCCCCCTCCTCCGCCAAATGCATCATATACAGGTATTTTTTTTTCTACTTCCAATAGCTGGAGGGGCTCAATATGGCAGCTACAATTGATTTTAAATAGATTGTTTAAGTTGTCAATTTGAATCGTTTAAAGCATAAAGAATTTTTAAAGGAATTCAAAAATTCCTATTTCTGTCAGAAACCCTTTTATCTGGCCAGGGACCACATCTTTAAACAATGTTTTCATATTTGTGACATCGTAGTAGTTACTAAATTTAAGCCGATAGCTTTTACATTCAGTCAGAATGTGCTTAACTGTCAAGCTATGATTGATATAGGTGCATCATTAGAAGGTGTACAGGAGTTAATCCTGCATGTCCAATACAAACTATTTAGCACAATGCCCTCTCTTTGGCCTTTTAGTGATTTTGCACTTTCCTGTCTGACACTGGGTTGGTGCTCGTAAAGTTTGTTTTCTGAGAATGTGTCCCATATTACATGCCATTTGCTTTTTATACAGTGATTAATTTTCTTTATATTAGTTACTTCCATGTTACAATGTTTTTTTTTTGTTAGTTCATCTACTTTTTCACTACTATTTATGGGCTGATATCCATGCCAAAAAAAAAAAAAAAAAAAAAAAAAAATTTCAATTTCTAAACATTGTGATAAATCTCCAGCATATCTGCAATGTAAGGGTGGTTAGTTTATTTTTTTTTCCTTCTTTCAGGGCAACCATAGAGGATAAATATCAAACTGTTGCTCTGTCAAGATCCTTATAAAATCAAAGGCCATCCTCAGGGTTTGCAGTTCCACCGTAAAAAAAACAAAAAAAAACAGGAGTATCATCAGGCAGTTTCATTTGCTTTTTCTTACAGCTATCCATGGCAGCCCCCATTTTATTTGAAACTTTGGATCCATCTGCATAAATTGCTCTATAGCAAAGGTATTTGTTTCTTAATTACTCAAATTTATTTTGATATTCACTTTTGTGCATTGTTTTTCTTTTAAATTCTCTCAATGTGGGATCTATTTCAGGTTCAGTGATCATACTAATCTTTTGTCCCCACAAAATTTAGAATGTTCTAAAAAGGATAAAAGCAATTATAATTTAATAAGGTACCTCCAAAAATTTGCTAAAAAGGAGCATAGCATGATGAAAAAAGAAAAAAAGGACCCACCCACCAAAAAAAAGTTTTATCGTCAAAAGGTTTGCTATTAAGAGGAAAGGTCAAAGGATTTTTTGATTATTTTATTAAATTTTTTAATTCTATCTAACATATTCAAAATTTGGGTGAAAATATTGTTTTTCTTGCATCAGCAGATGGACCAAAGATTAGTATGCCAAATTTAATGTCTTTTTTGTGTAAAATCACATTGTTTTGGAAATTCTTGCAAAAATCAAATAATTGTCAGATTTTAATGAACTTTTCAGAACTTATTCACAAATGAATTAAATTATTTCTGAATTTTTTTTACGTTACCTTGATTTAATTTTGAGAAATTAAAATTTCACCCTCTTCACATTTATATTAGTTAAAAGCAGGATTCCTTAGAAAATTTAAATCATCAATTTGTTTTTACCAAACAAAAACACCATTTACCAAAAATCTGCTCCGAATTGTAAAAATTAAAAAAAAAATGCAATAAACCTATGAGATTATTTAATTTAAGGAGATCATTTTTAGCAAAAAGCAAAACTCATTGGAGAATTTAAATCATCAAATTTCTTTTGTAAAATCAGACCCTGTGGAAAATCTGCTCTGAATTATAAAATAAAAAACACAATAAAACTAAGATATTATTTAATTAGAGAAGCTTTTAATTGGTTTTATGAATAATATATATTAAGGATAATATTGTCTTAAAATAATTTTTTCAATGAAAAATGAATTTTTACAAGATTTGTTTTCATTTTTTTAAATTTGAATTAAAATAAGTTTTAAATCATAAATCCTGTATTAATTTCACCTTTTTAGATGGTATTAAGTAAAAATTATATTTACTAATCATGAATGGAAAAGGTTAGTACAATTTATCAAACACCAATATATTTAAAAGAATTTTGAATTTTTATTTTGTATGTGTATAAACATGCCAATTTTTGGTGATTGGGTCATCCATATACAACATTATCAGAAAATAAGAGTGATAATTATAGTAAATTTAAAGTCAGAAAGTATCTAAAATTCAATAAAACATTAGATTATGAATATTTTCTTAAATGTGTAAGATTATTGAGTACTTAAAAATTATAATTCAAAAGCCCTCACATTATATTCAATTATTATTTATAACTAAAGCCTCCATAGAACATGAGATAAACATCAAGCTGTCATCAAGCATGTCAACAGCTTAAACAGTTACCACTACATAAAAAATGCCTTTCTGCTGTGATATATTAAACTTAAGGAAATAATATTTGTTTCAAATCAGATGAATTAGCTAATATTCCTCATATAAAGTTTCAGAAAAGTATATTTTATTTTTGGAAGATTTTTTTAATAAAGAGAATTACATTGGGCTAAAAAAAAAAAAAAAAAAAGCTCCACCTTCCAATCAATTTAAACTAGTTATGAAATACAAAGTATTTTGCTTATTGGAAATATTAAATTTAATCTATTAGCTTAAAATTAAAAATTAAAATAAAAGCTTTTTTGTTTTTAAAAATTAATTCTATACCTTAGGTGGTGGTACCTAAATTTAATTATCAAAAATTCTTTTGGCCTTTCCTTTAATAATAAAGACTTTGATGATAAAATTTTGTTTTTATTAAGTTTGGAGCATTTTTTCATCATGGCATGCTTAGCATTTTTAGCGAATCAGTGGCCATACCTAATATATAGTGATGCTGATAAGTTTTTAATATAGCGAGTCCCCAGAAACTACAGGTGGTGATTTGGGTAGGTCTCTAGGAAATTCAATAGGTCCCAACTAAAGTTTCTTAATATTTTTTTTTTAAGTCAAACTACATGGGTACAAACTCGTTATTTTTTTTTACCATCGTCCCAAAAAACAATTTTAATCATGCCAAATCACTTAAATTGAGAGAACAATTTTCTTTTTTTTAAATAAATTAATAAATTTCAAAACAAAAACAGTATTTACACTTAATTACAGTTTAATTAAGAAACTTTTCTTCTTTTTTCTTTCAGGAATTGTGACAGAACAAAGTTTTTAAATTGACAGAAAAAAAAGTTGATTTTTTGGGGTTTTATTTTTTCAATAGAAAATCTCTTTTGTCTGAAGACATTCTTTGAATTTTGTTAAAATGTTATTTGAACAATGAACTGAATGTTAAATAGAAATGTCTGTTTATTAATTAAAACATTTTGCATTCATAGTTTCAAAACCTATGTTAACAGCAAAACTACAAAATGTTTAAAAAAAATAAATAAATCTAGTTCATTGGACGAATGATTTGCATTCGGTTACAAAAAGAATATAATTACTTACTCACTGCCCCACACAGTAAGATGTGGCACAAGGCTGAGTTTAATGTGGGGTATCCGAGCCCGTAGGCTTGGGCAAAAATTCCCTATAGACCATGTAAAAATGGAGTCAGTTTCCCAGAGACGAGACACTGCCTTACAGCAGAGCCCCGTCTGAGGGATACCCTCTGATATAAGCCAGGTAAGTATACAAAAAGAATATATTAGAAAAGAATACATTAGTTACATTTTAAATTGATGTTGTTTACCTAGTGTCAACCAGTAACAATTCCTTTTATGATGTCATAGCTCTTATGCATTGGTTTTTAACAATGTATTGCTTTCATAGGAAATTTTAGTTGCATCCATGGCATGAATAGATGAGAAAGTTACTGCATCCTTTAAGATTTTTATGTGTCATGAACACAGGACACCCACCTGTCAGCATCTCTGATATATATGGTAATCTGAAGAGAGTAGGGCTCTGACAGGTCTACTTGCCCAAGACACACTATGCATGAATGAGTACCACTTGAGCTTTTACCCCAGATATTTGAAGGTAACTAGTCAAGTAATCAGCTGTGCAGTGACCTTACAACCACACCCAGTTATGAGATGGATGATGATGATGATGATATGGGTCAATACCTTAGAACAGGGGTTGGCAACTCATTTGACCTCATGGGCCAGATCGTGTTATAATGACGGGTTGTGGGCCGGACAAAGGCCATTGATGAAAAATTAAGGAAAATTACATATGCAGACCCCTGTCAACCTAAATATTTAAAACCATAATGAAAATAAACATTGAGAAATCAGTAAAACAAAAGAAAATCTAAAATTAAAAAACACCTAACAAAAATTACTTTTCCTCAACGAACGTCAAAATACTTTAAAGTGAAAAAAGTCAACCGAAGTGAAAATGGATGAAATTATGACGTGTAGGTTTGAAACTGTTATTGAAAATTGTTCCACAAACGAACCACACACACAGACATCAAACAAAAACGAAGAACATATACCCATACATACGAGTACAAATAGTTGCAAACATATACACTTACGTACGTACACATGCGGTATCATCCACACATTCATGAATCATGTATGTATAATGCGCGTATGTTTAACTGTCTTTAGATTTCTGTTACCTCGCATGTCAGTCCCTCCCTGGCCTCTTTCACTTTATCATTCCTTTCGCTTCTGTTACCTTTTAATGTAGCCAAGGGTCATAACAAATATGTATCCATTATTTGACATTAAACGTAGGCAACGCAACTTGGTAAAATAAGTCTCATGAAAGGTAACTGGCAGATAGTCTAATATTTTTAGTGCACCGAGATGTGTAGACATTCTATGGAAAATGACATATAACAAATTTCATTTGAAGGTCGTCTCTCACGTTAAAAATAGTCATTGGTAATCAGGCCCGCGGGCCGGTCAAAATGCCTTTGTGGGCCGGATCAGGCCCATGGGCTGTAGGTTGCCGACCCTTGCCTTAGAACATCAATGTTCTAAAGTATTGACCTATATCATTTCATTTATTTATTTTTTTTAAAGCATTTCACCCCAAGAAAGACAGGAGTTCCACTGGTTCACAAGGGGTTAGATAGAGTGAAGGTGAGAGAATAAAACTCTATAGGGGGAATGAGGAAAGGATAAAAGATGAACAAAGGTTCAAGACATCAATGGCAATTGACATTGCATTTAAGTTTTGTATTGATATTTCCTAGAATAAATGGAATAAACACATCAATGCTGGCTTTCACCCAGGAGGAGACCTCAGCAGCACATTTCAGAATGGGGTGATTAAAAAACCATATTCCAAGGGATGCCAATCATGGAATGAATTCCAATCTGCTCATTAATAGCAGAAAGATATTTTGTTAGTAGGAGGGTTATGGCAGGGGGAGGAGCAGAAGGAGATGTTTACAGATGATTCAGCATTATCAGAATTGCTAAGAGGGAAGAGCTTCATAGTACGACAAGAGTCAGGGAAAGAGGTAAAATAGAGATCAAAGAGAGCTGCATTTCCACCAGGATTACTGGGGAAATACGTGGGGAAGTCCACCACTTGTGTGAAAGATTGAGAAGTTAAGGGTTTGGATGCCACTAGCCACCTAGTATGGTGGGCGTTAAAGTCTCCGAACAGGAATATGTTTGCAAATGGGTGTCTATATTATCAGAAATACTATCCAGTACACAAGTTTTGAGAGGAAGTGGAATGGTAGAGAAAGAAGAGATAGTTAAGTAGAGAGAGAGAGAGAGAGAGAGAGAGACATAGACACATGTATGAGTGGTCTGGAGATTCAAGAGAGGGTTCTCTAGCCAATGAGTGATGTTCTCAGACAAACTCCCAGGCCATGCATGTAGAGTTTAGAGTCCTTTCTAAGTAAAAGAAAGGTAACCAGGAATTGAGAAATCAGAGGGGGAGATAGAAGAGTTAGTCTTACAGAGAGCTAGAATGCCCACAGACTTTTCAAAAAGGAACGATTCTACACTGCAGAATGTGGTATGAATATCATGAATATTGGAGAGGGAAAGGTTAAAGGGTTTAGGTGATTTTTATTGACTTGGTTTAGGTTTTTGTGTTTGGTTGTTTATAGTCATGATGTGTTATATTGGTAAGAAGGCCTAAGGTGGTAGGTCATTTGATGGTCATTTGATGTGACATATGCAGGAGGGAAATGGCACAGACTGCAACATAGTGTGGCTTCGTGGTTACCCACCCAAGATATCTTATATAAAATGATTGCATTTTGTTTAAGCAACCAAAGTGATAAACTTGGTTATTCTTACAAAGTTTCCAACATTAAAAACAGATGGAAATGTCAATATCATTTAGCCTTAAAACAAAAGGGGAAAATATTTTTCAATCCTTAAATTCTAAAATATGTTAAATACCTTGTTTTCTGAGAAATGCCATTCTTTTAAAGCTTCCTTAGCACCATCTGTAAAAAGAAAAATAGATTTATATAATTTTTGGTTATTTGAATGCATATGAAATCAAAAAGTTTTCTTTTTCTTCTTCAAAATATAGTAAATGCAATTTGAAGAATGAATAATTGTACATTTGTCCTAGAAAAATGAAGTTCATTCAAGAATTGTCATTTATATGAGAGCGAAAGAATTTCACTGTTCTGATATTATTGATAATAAGAACAAAGTGAACTTGTCAAAGATCAACCCTTTTGACAAAAGACAAGAGAATCAATACCCATTCTGTTATTTGTAAACAGCATCACTTCTACTCCTAAAATACAGATTAATCTCAAAATCTAAATATTGTCACTCAAAATAAAATGAAATGAAATACTAACTTCACATCAATTACAATTATTATTTGGGATTGCTCTATTTCAGAAAACTGTGATGGTCAAATGATATCAACTTGCATTAATCTTTAGCACTATGCATTATTAATATTACTTTCCCTTCCATTGCATTCTTTTTCAATGCCTCTCACTTGCAGTAATCTTATTGTTAATTTCACTCAAAAGGAGTTTTCTGTTGTCATAGCAGGATATGACAACACAACTATGAAATTCAAACAAATTCAAATTCAGGGATCAGGGTCACCTTTAGTGGCTGGATAAACTTTTTGTACAGAAAATAAGTCATATACAAACTGATAAAGGTTAGTATGATACTGAGTAGTATATATTTTTACAAAAAAGCAAATGCTACACATTGGCTATTTTATTAATTAACATCATTTATTACTGAAGTGGATATTTATTTGCAAACCAGCTTTTATCAGTAAGTAAAATTCATATTGTAATCTATGAATGAAAAATGTAGAAAGGTTATTTTTTTTTTTTGTAAAATAAATTTTTCAAGTTTAAAAAAGAACCAAATTTGAAATTATATAGATAAAACCATGTGGACTGGAGTTACAGAACCACAAACACAAAGAACTGTACCAAATAATAGGGACCACATAACTCAAGGACTTTCAACAGCAGCAACACCTAAAATGGATATCCTATGTAATTCAAAGAGAGAATAATGACATAATGAAGATGCTGACATTTCACTCTACCTCAAACAAAAGGAAACCTCATCAATACTGGAAAGAGCAATAACAGCAACTGGATTTAAAAGATTTTAAATCTTTTAAAAGAGAAGGATTTTATAAATTTCAATTCACAGCAGTACTGGCTGCTCAATCAATGAATGCTGAATGTTTCCTTATAAGAAAACAGCTAATATTAACATATATATATATATATATATATATATATATATATATATATATAAACAAACATTTTTAAGGTATGCTATATTTATGAGTTAGAAGTGTACATTGAGGTCAGCACCCAGCAGCAACAGTGTTTCATGCTTAAATACAAACTCCAAGCCTGGAGATCTGCTCTTTCCTTTCACTCTTCCCCCTACTAACTTTCTGCTCATCTTAACATCATGACACATAGCTAGCAACTCAAACAGATGGCATCAGAACTACCCAAGAGACAGTGTTCCCCGAGAACAGTGGTTCAGAGTTGACTTCAATTCCAACTGCACCCTTTAATATAAAACAGCAACCAGAAATCATCAATATCCAATTTGTTGTCACTTGACACCCAAAGGTTTTTATTTATATATTCTTTTATTCCCTTCTGGTCAAGTGGCTAACCGCATTGAAGACGACAACTCGCAGAATTATTGGTGGTCATAAAACACTTGACACTCAGAAATGTCACCCAACTACTCCATAATCTATTGAACAGAGCTAGGTTTTTCATCCAAGGAAGACTATCCTGAGGTCCCATGACAGACACACTCAACTAAACTGAAACAGAAAATGTCAAAAGGATTTGTGGAAGGCAAAAATTAAAAACTCAACTTGAATTACTAAATCAATGATGCATCTGGAGAGGAAAAATTCCCAAAATAAAAAACACAAGCTTGAGGATAATCTCTTAAGAGAAACATCCAAAATTTATATTTTATTTTGAAATCTTCATTCCTTTTTAGCAAGAAAATACAGAATACAGAATTCTGGTCAATACAGAATTGGGACAATTTTTCTATGATGACATTCACATGTCACAACAAACATTCAAAATGATAGCATTGTAAAGGTCCTAAGTTTTGGTAAGGAGAGCAGGAAATCAGTCATAATACAAACCTTGTAACTTTTGTCTTAGATGACCCTTACCAGAAAATAACACAATGATAGAACAAAAATAGCAGTTTCTGCATGGCATCTGTGTAATAATTTTTTTTTTTGTGAGTGGCCCATTCTTTTGTTTATGTGTACATCTGTCTCTCTCATATATATATATATATATTTTTTTTTTAAATCCTTTCATCCTAAGCAAAGCAGGAATGTCACTAGTACGCAAGGGGTTACAAAGAGTGAAAGTGAGAAAAGACTGGTATAGGGAGGATCAAGGAAAGAACAAAAAGATGAACAGAATTTAATATAGATGGCAAATGATGTTGCATTTAAATTTTTGAAGATTGTATTTATCAAAAAAGCAACTGTATGAAAGGAACTTCCACAGGTGGGAAGTGCAAAAAAAAAGAAATTGTTGAAGTAGAAGTGGCAGTTACATTTAAATATTTAACAGTAAAATGGTGGGACCTTGATACCAATCTAGTAGCATGCTTAAGTTCATGTAGTAGGGACACCAGGAAAAAAAGCTTGTCAGAGAAGTTGCCATAAAATATTTGTAGAAAAGACAGAGAGAAGCCATGCCACATTGGTGAGAAAGTTACTCAAGTCAAAATACCAAGTCAGGATCGATTACATTATGGGATCCTTCTTTGGATTTTGTTAGGATGAATAGAAGTTGCACCAGACCATATATGGCACCAGTATTCAATGCAAAATTGCTTTTTCCTTAAAAAAATAAAAATGTGATACTCTTCTTGATTGTATGCTCACGGTTGATGAAAAAATGGTTTCTGTATGATACTCTGGAGCATCGATTTTTGGCCAACAACTCTACTCCTTTGTAAATGTGATAACTTACCTCGGAGCTCGAAACATGTGCGAACGTGTCTTGCTTGCATGACAAATCCAAAAGGAAACATGGCCGCTGTCGAAGACACGATTTATACGCGCCGGTCTCGTCCAAAACGAGATTGTACAAGTACACATGCAAATTTCAGCATTGTCGGACTAGCATAAAAAGGCGAGGCGCCAGCGGCACAGCAGAAGGCGAGTCATTCAGCAGACTTCGTGAAACAGGGTCGGACGTGCAAATAGACTGGCAGACCAAGAGGCGGTTGAAGTAAGTGCGTTTGATTTGGGTGTCCGTTTCACGACTGCCCGGTGCAATGGCCGAGAAAAGGATTCTTGCAATTTATTTATTTGAGGCAACCGACAGCGAAGAAGAACAGCTAGTTTGCCGGCAAACTCTCGTCAATTTTTTTTGTTTTTCTCTCTTCTTTTTTCTACAGTAAACCTCTGAAAAGAAATTCTCACTTGAAAAAGATCCAGTGTTTAGTGGAATCCATTACAACCTGGTCAGACAATCACACTAGGATCTTAATGCAATGAGTTAGAATTGACACATCTCAAGTTGTAGACACTTTGGCCAGCAGTGATGAAAAGAGGCATGTTCTTTTTTAGAATAATGCAAAATCTAACAAAAAAAAAAAATAAGAGAGGTAAAAACTGCTAAATTTATGCATTGAGGCCATGCTCCACCCTCCCTTTCACCAGATTCTCATTGTCACCTAGGGATGAAAAGCATATACACACCAGCAGATGCAGACCAGGTTGAAAAATATCTTCCAGCAGTTTGATTTGAATATAATTCATGAGCAGATCATTGGCAACATCATTCCAATTCTAAAGGTGCTTACTTTAACTCAAACCTGTATTTAACAGAATTAACATTTTTAAGTTAGTGATTCAATACAGCCATTTATCTTCTTCTAACTCAATAGAAAAAGTTTTTGAAATTAAATAAAACTCACCCTCAAGGTATGCCTGTATGGTCCTCTCAACACAGTAGTCATAGTACTGAAGTACAAGAATCATTTCATTATTACTTCTACCAGGAACAACTTCTTTCACAGCCTGAACCTGTAAGCAAAGTTATAAAAAAAAGGTAAAGAGAACAATGAATACCAATCAAAATAAACAGTTAAAAAGCAAAATTTATTAAAAACGTAAAAGAGTTAAAAATCTAGAAAGAAGCCCCACTTCAAGGAAAATATATTCTTTAAGGAACAAATGAACAACAGTATAAATAAACATATGGTAAGTGCTAGTTTGCTAGAAAACATTTTATGAAATGGTTTGTCAATGTGATAGCTTTAACAAATAAAGTGTCCTGTATCAGAATCAATGCACATTTTAGTAAAGCAGAAAGATTCATTTTCTGAGTAATATAGGAGAGTAATGAGTTCAATCTGCATACCATGGATATGGCTTTTGTGTAGTTTCTATTGCTCGTCTTTATGACTATAATACAATCTCTGCTTGGACATAAGGACCAAACAGACAGTGCCATGGATAATGGTAGGTATGTAAACATACAACATGCCCCCTTACCCAAGCTTTCCATCAACCAGCCAATGACCACCCCATTTTGCATTTCAATCTTTGATCTTGTCAGTATGCAGAGAGAGGGCAATGCATGTGTAGCAGGAAACCTGGGATTCTGTATCACAGACACTGGAAACACACTTGCAATGGATTCTGGTTCAGTAAGCAATGATGTGACCTGTGTTGAGTGCAAAAGACTTCTGACTTCTCAACAAACACTTGCCTTTTTATACTTTCTTGCCAAGCCAGAGAATTTGCATATTGAGCACACTGCCAGACTTGATCTGACTCAATGACACATACACCCAGTCATTCCAGCATCAATGCTTGGACAGTTTGCCTTACTAGAAATTCACTTGTCCTATACACACATTTAGACTACATTACTCCAGCCCTCTTGGACCTCTGAGGTAATTCTCCAGCACAGTATGCTCACAAGGTAACATGATGAAAGAAATGCTACATTGAGAAATAACGCAAACCATGTTTACTATATTATATGCAGGTGTTTATTCAGGGCTTTGCCTGATCATTCAGGTGAGTAGGTACTTTATACTTGTGACAAATTCTATGTCATTTCTTTCCCCTACCAACTCCTTGCCTATACATGGTGGCTAGCAATATGAAAAAGATTTAGAACTGCAACACAGACATATCTATAACCATCCAAAGGTGGACCAGAACTCTCTCCCAAGTATGATGATTAATACTGACCAGCACCCAGATATACTCTATTTTTTGGTTTTGTTACAATTTGAACCATGAAAATCCCTTTACTTTCCATTCCCCTTTACTTAAAGTGGATGCTGCTTAGAAATCCAAACTTCAAAAGTTGTCACAAGTATAAAACCACCTTCTCCACTTTCTATATCACAGGTAGGTGTAAGTGTGAGTGAAAGAGAGATTTTTATTTCTTTTTTTTTTTAACATGGCTAACTCCAAAGCCTGAAATAATAACATAAGCTATTGTGGGGTCATTACTGATTAGTGATCAACAACAATAAGCACAGTATATCATTTCTAGCCAATCTGGAGCAAAAATAGACAAAGATACAGAGATTGTTTGCTATGAAGTACAAAAATGTTTTTTGATCTCAGAAATGATAGGTCAAATAATGTCATATTTCTACCAGAGAACAATGGAGTCAGAATTTGTTTGCAGAAAATGGGGCTTATAACTTGTAGCAAAACTAAAGAATTATATTCTTCGAGGTAAAGCAACAAAAAAATTTACATGGAATGTGCTACTGACCTCCCAAGTCATTACCAGAGGTTAACTTTATATGCTCTAATATCTTTTTCAACCAAAGTCATAAAAATAAATAATGACAATTATCAAGATTTGTACCGTTTGTAGCGTACTGGACAACTATTAAAAAAAGAAAAAAAAAAAACTTTTAAAAAATTCTTCAACTATTCAGGATAAAATTATTTTTTTTTTTAATAACAGTTTTAAATGCAAAACAAAATAAAAGTAAATAAAACATCCAGTGGCTCCATGAGCAAAGTATTCCTGCCCAAAGAAAAAATAATCAAAGGAAAGCTCAAAGTTGTTACAAATTCCTGGAAATGTTTGGCTATATTAATCAATTGATAATTCCAGACAATTTTTAAAGTTGTTCAGAACCCAATTGATTTCATTTGATTTTTTTTTCATCAGGTGTTTTCAGAGATTTGAAATCAATTGGGTTCTGAACAACTTTAAAAATTGTCTGGAATTATCAATTGATTAATATAGCCAAACATTTCCAGGAATTTGTAACAACTTTGAGCTTTCCTTTGATTTTCAAATCTCTGAAAACACCTGATGTTTCCTTTTAATAGATCAACTACAAACTGGGTTGCCCAATATGCTTCTCAAAAATCCCATCTGAAATGAGGAAATAAAAATTATCTGTAAAGCAGATTTTCCTACATGTCAGGCAAAAAGAAGACATATTTATTCTAAGGATCCTCATAATTCCCACAGATAAGACTGCTAAACTCAAGCAACTTCAATTTCCAAAATGGCCCAAACTTGACAAAACAAGGACAATTTCAATGGCTTCAAACCTGACTTCTCCATGTATTTTCCCAGGACAAACTTTATATGATTGTATCCTTTTCAATGAGAAAACTACTTAACATTGTGTACCAAGATGTCAGTATAATGGAAAAAATCACTATTGTTTTGAGTAGCAGCAATATTTTTCAGTAACCACATTTCTCCCCTGAAAGCAATGCTGGATATCCTAGGTAATACATTTATTATAGAGCATAGAGTAGACAAAACTTTAGTAAGCCATCTAACAAGATTATAGCAACATTTGATATTCTTTTGGAAATATCATTAAGATTTGCATCCAAAGACAAAACAAATAGTGGCATTATAATGCCCTTATATTGTTATTTTATGAAACCTAGAAAGACAAATCAGCAATGCATTCTTTTAATAACTCCCAGAATAGTTAAAAAATAAAGACAAATCAAGCATCCAGCATGTGCAAGAATGAAACCAGACTTGCTCATAGACCAATTTATCTACCATATAAAAGCAACATCTGTCTCAGGAATAAAAAAAAAAAAAAAAAAAAAATCACCATGGAAGGAAAGATCATGAAATTTTACAGGTGATTAACTTTCTAGTTGGATTTATTAGATTATGTCAATAATGCCTTGCATGATTGAAAGCATTCATAAAATGAAAGTTGTAGATTTTATATACTTTTCTTGACAATTTCATGTACAAGTAAAAAAGAGAAAGAAAGCAAAACTAAAAACAAATATTGGAAATAAACAGGACCTATCTCTCCATGCATATATGCTGGTGGTATAATGGTAGCAGCTTGGAACAAGGAAATTGATGACCAGAGTTCTTATTCTAATTGAATTGGTTACATCCATTTTTTATACAAATACCCTTGGAAAGATATAAATCCATCTCTTCGCCTGCACACAGCTATGGGTTAAATAGTAGAGCAGGTTAGGATCCTTAGCTTTGCTTGCCAACCAATTTAGAAGGACAACTGTATTCAAAACCAGTTGGGCAGTGGGGCAGTGGGCAAGTAACTCCAGTTCATAAAAGGCCTACTTGCTATGGAAACTGTAGCTGCAAACACCTAGCAGGTTGAAGTTGTGGTCCTAGACTCTGCAGTTGGGAGTGTATGGGACTTGAGAATTTATCAAGTGATTACATATTGCAAACCATTTATTTTTCTTCAATTTTTTTCCTTTTTTGTTGTTGTTGAAAGATTAAAAAAGATGCATGTTAAATATGTAGACATCATAAAAAAGTCATATCCACCTACATCATGTGAAACTGATATATTCAGATTACTTTAAAGTAGTTGGATGTCTTAAAAGCCTTGTTCTCCAACTGCCTCAAAACACATTTCAGAAAAACAAATAAGAACACCTTTCCAATATGCACACTGAACACAGACTGGATTCTGATAAATAATAGATAAGTGGAAATAGTAAACAAGATAGATTTAAATAATTGAGGAATTTTCAAATGGGTTTAAAAGAGAAAAATATATCTCCTTTCACAAAGATTGAAAATGCTAATTTTAAAAACAAACCCAGGACAGCAAGCATTAAAAACATTCAAGATAATTACTTTTAACACTAAAATACCCTAAAAATCTTTATACACTTAAAAAATAAAATAAAATATATAATTTTAAATAGAGGAAGGTTTGAGAAGTTTGTGAGAGGAAATTAACTGCCTGCCCTTATATCTTAAGTTTAGATCACTGAATGCTCTCCAGTCAGTGGATGATCAGTTATAACAAATGACTGAGATATCAGCAGAAGGTGGAGAACTTGTGGTCATTTGGTACACTATCCAGACTGGATTATTGATTAAAATTTAATCAAAAAAACAGAAAAATGAAGTAGTATTTTCCTAGCAAGAGACAAAAGTATAACAGGGTTAGTAGTTTTTTTTTTGGGGGGATTATGTTACATCAAAGTGGATTGCTAAGGGAAAAAGGATCTGATCATTCAATTCACTAATGTTGACATCCTGACATTATTTCTGGTAATTCCTTGATTTATATTTTGATAGGATTCATCAAGAATGTTTCCCCACTTATGTTTCCTATTAGAAAATGGTTGAAATAGTCTAGAACAGAGTTTTTTAAACTGTGAGACCTGACCCTTCAGTTGGCCACAACAAAAAAGAAAAGAAAAAAATACACAGGTGGGAGCAAAATGCAGAACATAAACAACTCTAAATGTTGCACAACACTCAAATCATCGGTAGTTTTTCACCAAGTTAAACTCATATTATATTTTTAACACACACACACACACATATATATATATATATATATATATATATATATATATATATATGTGTGTGTGTGTGTGTTTGTTCTCAGAGTTTATGTATCTTGTTCATCAGACTCATTGCAGACTGAATGACAGAATTTCCTTTAAACTTGTTTTTCTAAAAGTACTAATTTTATATTCATACAAATAGGTAATAAAAATAGATACATGCAATTCCAATATGTGCGGACCATAAGAAATGCATATAAATTGTCAATGCT